ATGAAATTTACAGGTAAATGGATAGAGCTGGAAATAATTATTCTGAGTGAGGTAAGTCAGACCCAGAAGGGCAAACGTTACATCCTTTCTCTTGTTTGTGGATGTTGCCTTTGAATCTTCAGCTATGTGTGTTTCACTCTATACCCATAAAGGTCTGAAAATTAGTAAGGAACCATGGATGGGTGGCAGTGCTATCAAGAAAGAAGAGAGAGGATGAGGGGGTATAAAGTGTTAAAGGGGAATAATTGAACAAGGAGGGTTAAATTGGGGTGGAAGATTGGAGGGCAGGATAGAGGACAGTATGGGGAGGGCTCAACAGTACTAAAGACATTTAGAACAAGCCATATAGAAACTTACTATTATAGAAGTTCTCATGTATGTATGTGTACATATGTGTATACACACATATGTATATATACATATAGTTAAGATGTTCTTTCTTTCTTTTTGCTTTTTTTCCATCTTTGCGGATTTGAGTATTGAACCTTTAAACATGCCAGGCAAAGAGGCCAACAATGAGTTACATCCCCAGGCCATTCTAAAATCTCCTTTTCATTTTGTTTTATGAACTAGAGTTAATCTTCCATTGTTTCTCTAGTAACAAATTCTGTTACTTATCCTTGATCAAGAATGCCCCCACCTTCCTTTCATTCTTAATGGACAGTACTATAGCAGTTCACATGACGAATGTTCCCATTAACCTATGTATTTGTATACTTGGTACCTGGATGGTGGTGCTATTTGGTGAGCTTTAGGAGGTACAGCCTTATTGCAGGAGTTCATCAGTAGGGGTGGGATTTGAGAATTCAGAGCCTCTTATCACTTCCATTAGTAAGGTCTCTGTTTTGTGCCTGTGGTTGAAACCTGAGCTCCCTGCTCCTGCTGCCGTGTGTGCGCTTGCTGTCTTGCCTCCCACCACGATTGACTCTTATCCCTCTCAACTCTAAACACAAATAAATGTTCCTTCTACAAGTTGCCTTTGTGGTGGTGTCTATCACAGCTACCAAAAAGTGACTAAAGTAGACACCATCACTGTGTATGGAATTTTTGACTGGCATTTCTTCACACCCAGACAAAAATACTGCCAGCTCCTGTCTCCACAGTTGGAGATAGAAGTCTGCTATAATTCTCAATCTTACCCTTTGAGGCAACATGCTAATTCTCTCTACCTAATATCAAGATTTCTCTCTTTAGTTTTTGTTAGTATTCAAGCATCTGTACGGACCTGACCCCAAGGATACATCCTCAGCTGCAGCCATTAAGAGCACCTCCTGTGCTTACTTGCTTTGCCCACTCAATCTTCTGCCCCATCCTTGGGAACTGAGTCACACGCCTCCTCGCTCCCATTGGGATGCCTTTTAGACACCCACTAATCACTCCTTTTAAATCAAATCTGGTCTTGGTATTCTTTGGACCAGTTGTGAAATACAGAAAAAAAATTCTCCACTTTATTTCTTTTTCATTGCTTCAAAACCTGCTTTCTACTGGATTGGAAACTCCTATGGAAGTGGATGCTTTCCTTCCTGACCCTTTCCCTTTTTCTCCTATTTTTATCACACCCTGCTTCATCAATTTCTTTTCTATGTATCTCCAGCGATACCCTCAAAAATCCCTGATCAAACAACTAATCAGCTATTGTTACAGGACTACCAACTGTTAGATACAGAGCTGGAGGCACACAACTACCAAACAAGCAAGGTGGTGAGAACCAACAGCACCCCAGAGGAATGCACGTTCCCCAAGACTCAGAAAGGAGACTCACAGAAGAGATTCTAATGTACCTCTTTACTATTCGTTTCTTTTAAAGGTACTAACTCTACAATGACTGTCCTTAGTAATCAACCTGTGTTCCCTAGTTGGCTAGAAAGTGGGTGTACAGGTGATGCTGTGTTGATGGGAAATGATCAAGTGCTTTAAGATCCAGGCAGTCAACTTGGATCCCCTCGAGCAATATCTTGCCAGGTCCAGGAGGTACCTGCCAGATCCACAGAGCCTGCACAATGAAGTGAAACAGCCAGCTACCCCAGGATGTGGTGCCAGCACCCCATATTTCTCAGGTTCCTCAAATATTGTGATGCCCCCAGGTCAGCATGAAGCAGTCTCCAGAACACAGTATACTCATCCCCACCTCACCTGCTACCCTTTCTAACTCCTCACCTTTTTATAATAATAAAGGCATCTTACTGGCCTGCCCTTGGGGTCCTGAAGTCACTAAGAGCACCCCATGTGCACAACTGCTGTTTTCTTTCAAAAGGTGGACCTTGCCCACCTCCTGCCTCTTTCTCTCTTTCTCTCTCTCCCTTTCTCTTCTGCCATTCTTATCCCCAGACCAGTCTCTGCCCCCATCTCTGCCCCTCCAAAACAACCTCCTATGTGAGCCTTGTTGCATGGCATGAATTCTTTTTGTGACATTTTTAAATAAATTACTTAACAATTCCATTGGATTTATCTTAATGAGGACTCACCTTTTGACAGATTGGGGTTTCAGTCATTGTTTTTCAAGTTTTGTTAGCCTATTTTTGGACCCTTCTAGAATTTTTATTATATATATTATATTATATATAATAAGAATAATATGTATATATTCTTATTGTCCACATATTTCTGAGGTACTTTCATATTTCCAGTCTATTCTTAATTTAGATCAAGCTGTTTCTCTTGCTCCATCTTCAATGATGTGGCTTCCTATTATTCATTTTTACCATAACCTTACTCATCAAATTTTAAATTTATAGCTACTGTGTTTTTCAATTATATAATTCCCAAGTTCTTTATTCTAAAAGCATCTATATTCTGAGATGTTATAATCTCTTTGTTTCTAACATATTTAAATATGTTCACTGAAGCATTTTAAGATGGATGTTTTAAAATTTTCATTGAATAATTCCAGTGCCCAAACCCAGTCTCCCTCTCCTGTCTCCCTCCACTCTTCACAGCCTGGATTAATCACTATAATACACTTCAGCCAATGTTTGTAAAACATCTGCACATGGGCAAGAACAGGCAGTAATTTTTCTGTGCCTGACTTCTTTCCTTATGTACAATGTCCTCCAGCTTTATGTATTTTCTATATATCATAGGTTATCATTCTTATTTATAGCTGATAAATTATTCTGTGCATAGGCACACCTCATTTCCTTTTTATATTCATCCACCAATAACAAGGACATTGATCCCATGTCTCGGTTACTGAGAATAGTGCACCATAAACATAGACTGTCAGGTGTCCCTCTGATATACTGACGCCATTTTCTTTGGCTGTAAACCCAGAGTGGCAATCTAACCAGAGTAAGTAATAGTGGTCCACACCACCAAGGCACGGCTATAGTTCATGATAATCTCTTGTGTATTTTATGAAAACCAGAAGTCAGATATGCAAGAGCTCTAAACACAAAATAGTGACAGAGAGGTGGAAGTCATCCTGACTGTCAGAGCAATAGAATACAGGAACTGAAATACCAAATTTTATGCCATTATTTTATGGAATGACAAAGTAATACATTTTGTTAACTGTTAAGAAGTTGGAAAAGTTAACTACTCTAGTCACTACACACTGTATGCATGCCTCAGTGATCACACTGTATCCTATAAATCTGAACAATTAAAGTAATTAGTAAAAATAAAAAACAAAGATTTCCAAAGATAATGCCACATGATTATCTCAATGAATGAAGATTTGCTGATCACCTTTCCTAACTCATTATTTTTCTCATTCTTGCTATTATGGGTTGTAGCTATTGCATCTAGTGCATTCTGAATCATGTAATAGAGACTGTAGAACCCCATATCATCCTACAAAGACCCTGGCCTTTTCATATACTCTGTTTACAAAAGCAATTTAGTTTTTAGAGTCTCTGTAGAGCTATTTTTGTCATTTTAGTTCACTTGGTGCCTCTGAGGTTTCGTCTCAGCCCCCACTCTTGCTGTCTATTGGGAGAGAATGCCCCTCACCAGCCCTCTTGCCATTAATTGGAGGGTGGCAGATACCAGGGGTGGGAAGTAAAGAGTTCATTATTTAGAGGCATTTTGATTTGGATCTTCAATATTACCTAAAGCTCATGTGCTGAAGGCAGTGTTCTCAGTGCTGCAGGGTTGAGAAATAGCCCCTGGAGGGGGGGGGGAGGATGACCTGATCATAAGTGCTCTGACCTCGAGCTCTGACCGCATAAATATTAATCCATTCATCAATCCCTAGATTAACAGAATTTGAGAGTGGAACTTGGTTATAAAAGGTTCCCAACTCCTTCTCTCCCTCTTTCTTTACTTCCTGGTTGCCATGAGGTGAGCAACTTTCATCACCATTGCCCAGTAACCACGAACTCCCTGTCCTACATCACTGCTGCCCAGTAACCATGTACTCATTGTTCCACATCCCTGCTGCCCAGAAACAACAGGGCCAAGTGGCAATAGATTGGCACCTCTGAGTGAATCAAATATGCCTTTTCTCTTTTCTTCTTAGTCATTTTTGTTACAATTCTGGGAACGTGAGTAACACGACTGTCTTCATACCACCTGTCTTCATGGCCTCCCTGGCTGCCCATTGAGGCTAGGAAGATCCTCAGGGTGGAGCATGTTCCCGACTTAAGTAACTTTTGGGGTTTCTCTTCACTCCTCGGTCTCCTAGTTATTGTGAGGATGCCTTTTCAACCTCTGCCAGAGAAAAATGGTAAGAGTACATTTTTATGTGCAATTAGCAGAATTTTCTCAGTGTCCATAGACATGGTTCTACTCACTGCTCACAAGTAAAGCAATTGATATTCATTAATTTTATCAAATGACACTCTTCTGAAATTAGGACTCTTGTGTGTTAAAAGTGTCATGCTATCAACTTGTCGGACAGATCTTTCTCCATCTTCACCATATGGAACAAGAACGCCTCAGAAAGAACCTAGACGATCAGTACATTTGTTTTTCTTTTCGTAATTGAAACCCACTTCTTCATTCCGTTTAAGAAATAAAAAGGCAGATTGGAAGAAACTGTTAAAAACATTAACTCTTACCCACAATTGGAGTTCAGAGGATCCTAATTTTTGGATTTTATTCTTCTTTTGCAATATTGCCTAGAAGGCATGTAACAAAAAATGAAAGAAATAAAATTAACATTTACATTATACAATCACTCCCTCCTATCTCAACTATATCTGCAATTTCTGTCTTAATTATTGACTTTTCAAACTGTGGACAAATAAACTTCCTGGAAGCTAGAGGATGTTGCCCACATTTCTACATTTCTACCTCAGTCAGTTCTGTGGTTTGCTCTCTGCATGGTATCACCTGTGGAGATGATGGATGTGGAAAACATGGAGACAGTTAACAGCACTCTGCACTCAGTCAGTTTTTACAAAGATAAGTGCATGCCTTCCCTCTGTTTCTGCTTTATCAAGTAATCAGAAAGGACAATTTTACACCATTGAGGCCTTGAATGTCCTTCTATTTCTTATAGTTGTGTTTTTCTCTCTGTAGTCACACTCTGCTTATTTTAATGTTTCTCAGGCAAGACTCTTGAAGACAAGATTGGCTATTAGTAATTTTCTACTCCATTTTGGGTAACTAGGAGGTTATCAGCAGGGGCTTGGTGTTATATTTATAGATGGCCTAAACTGTTTTGAAGAACTGTTAAAAACAAACCATCACGTTTACTTCTTATATTTATAGCAATGGCTCCATAAATCCATTTTATGACTTTCAGTCACATCTCTGATATGCATAAGCCTGAATCATGAACGCCCTCTGTTCCCTCTTATTTCATATAGAAAAGCAGATCTGGCCTTTCCCAGGTACAATGCACTAACTGAATCATTGGGGATTGCCCTGGAGTTATAACATCTTTGCTTCCCACATCCTTTCTACTTTATCATAACACAGCTATTCACATCCCCCTTTCCCTCAAAACCTAGACTTGACTTTCTGTGACTTACCCATGTCACTAACAAACACGAGGAATAGTAAGAACTTAAGTACATTGGATTTCCAAACATCAAAATGAAACAGAGGGCAACAGAACCCTGAGAAATGGAAACAAAAATGATTTATATTCATTACATGTATTCACACTTTGGAGGCAGGTTAGATAATTATATCTTTAGCATTTTTATTAGTGGATATTCACTATACATATTTCATTATGACATTTTCCATAAGAAGACCATACAATTTGATCATATCATATAAGCCATTGATTACAGTATTAATGGGGTTTTCTAAATAAAAATAAGATTTCAAGTTACTGCTATGATCTAAGTATTAAAATTCAAGATCATAAATTACTTATAGCAGAACTTAAATTCTTTTCCATGTGCCTCTGTGGTTTCTATAGTTCAAATAATGGAATGGCATAATATGACAATAATAAATGTATTTTCACTAATGTCTTATTGCATCATTTTATGACTTCTGTAACTTATATATTTATTATCACTTTATGCTTTAAAGGAAGATGCATTGGAAGCTAAGATAAAAAACTGCAAATATAAAAGCTCACTCACAAAATTTCACATTTGCACCATGTTAAAAATCCCAAGTATAAAAGGCATTTAAAAATTAACGACAATATTAAAATGTAAAAATAAAGACTAAAGTGCTGGAGAGATGGCTCGGCAGCCTAGAGCACTGGTTGCTCTTAGAGAAGACCCAGGTTCTGTTCCCAGTCCCCACATGGCAGCTCACAACCATCAGTAACTAGTTCCGGGAGATCTGATGCCTTCTTACTCTGTGGGCACTGCACACACTCAGTGCATAATACATGCATGCACAAACACCTAACACAAAAATAAACATATCTTTAAAACATAAAAGCTTTAGAGAGGACAGTCCATCTGTAGTGTGGTTGCCAGTTTTAAAAAAAGCATAGCGCAACACAGAGCGTGGCGTGTCATTTCCAGCTTTCCCTCTAGACAGCGTCAGTCTCATGCACCTGAAATACCAAGAGAAGTACTCCGGAGAAGAGAATTACAATGCTTTGCAAACAGAGATAACTTAATATCAGACTTATAAATATTAAAATGTTACCATGTTGATAAAAATGATCTTCTGAAATTTGCTTGGCTCAATGTATCCCACAACATACATGGGAAATAATGAGGCTATCTGAAATAAAAACATAAAAACCCAAAAGTGAAAAAATATAGAAAAGAGACAGTTCATTATTCATAGAAAAAGCAAATACAAGGGAGCAGTTATATTTCTGATGGCAGAATAAAATAATTTTCTGGTCTAGAAATGTAATTGCTGGGGGAAACATACAAAAGTATAAGCATATATGCGTGCATTCATGATATTATTATTACTATTGTTATTATCAAGCTGATTGAGAATTAAGAAGATAAATCCCAGTTAATAATGTAAATCTCTACCTCTGACTATGATATCTGGATTATTTCTTTTCCAGAATAACTTCAGCCAACAATGGTTAAAGCATGCAGGGTATATGATAGACTTAGCAGACTAAGCAGGCTGACTCTGAGGGGGCACACCAAGAAGGAAATGTCTTCTGCTTTCTCAGGCTTTGGTTTGAGGCTTCAAAGGTCTAACTCTAGATGTGAGCCAGGAAGAAGGAAGCTATCAGAAAGAACAAAACCCACTTTCGATCATCTCACTGGGTGACAATAATTCAAGATTGCTTGTGCTTTTGCCTGTTGGAAACAAATTCACTATTCCCTGGAGAAAATTATCATCAATTTAACCTTACACTAATCCTAAATCACACATAAAAGCCAACCAACTAATCATGGGAATAGAAAAACACAAAAGACTCCTGAAATAGATGTTTTAAAAAATCTCCTACATCACAAATCAGTCAACGTTATATGAAAGGCCAGATCTGCTCAGTGTGTCACAATTTTCCCCATTGGACCTTCTTTTCTTGACTATTTTTTACAAACATTCACATCAATTATATATAGATATAAATCTGTATCTATTTAGATGGATGGATGGACAGACAGACAGACAGATCAGGACATTCAAAAACATGCCTGATATCATCAAATATCAAATTATTTTTGGTATGCTCTAAGGTGTAATAGATAGGGTTAAAAATTCTACAATTACTGTGATTAAATTAAAATTACTTTTTCTGTAAACAAAAGACAAACATACGGAATAACTCGGGATTTCATCCAAGTTAAGAAAAAGCAGCAAAGGAAGGAAAGAAGGAAAGGAAGGAAGGAAGGAAGGAAGGAAGGCAAGCAGGATTTAAGGGAAAAAAACGTAATTGCTTCGTACGCTTCCTGCTGAGTCTTGATCACTTAATAAAACAGTTTAGGCATTGAAAGACAGTTCGTAAGATCATCTTGTGAGGAAAATTAAATCCTTTTATTTTTTACACAGAAAAACCATTAAGTAACAGTAAATTTAATTGATAGTTTATACAGGATATAGAAGCCTTGTTCAATTGTGCATTTCTTTATCAAAGCTGCATGAAAGTTGGAGTCCTTTCTTTATCACAATAATATAAACAGTACAGTCAGACCATAGCTTTGAGTGGAGTGCAGTCTAAGATGCTGGTTGTGTCTCAGAAACAAAGTACAAAGTGCAGGTGTTTAACAGACCAGCCTGGCTTAGATGAATGCCTGGGCCTGGTGGTCTCCATCAGTTAGAGAAAGAGAGTGCCACCTGCTGGACTGGATTACTCTGGGGTTGAAGCAAAATGACCCCCACTTCTGAAGCTTGGCACACTTAGTCTTCCATTCTTACAGTTAGGATCCACTCATCTTCAGCACTTTCTAAAATGCCACAGCTAAGCTTTGGTTGAGAAAAATACTTTTAAAAGGCAAAGATTCTCTCTCTCCTTCTGCTCCTGATTTGGACCTTGAGATTGTGGAACAGAAACCTCTTAAAAATAAAACAGTTTTCAACTGAAAAAAAAAGGCAAAGATTCTGCAGGGTTTCTGAAATGTCATGAGTTTTATTGCTGGTTAAAAGACCATTTCTATCTCAAGACATAAGAAGTGGAATTGATAAGTGAAACACAGAAAATGGGCCTGGCTCCTTGCTTCCAGGTGCTTCTTTTAGACACTGGCTTCCAGGTGAGAATTTGTCTCCAGGAACCAAAAGGAGGGATTCGAATCTGTTCAAGTCCTTGAGAAACTTTAGTTTCTGAAATCAGAGCTATGTTCATATATCTTAAAATAAATTAGTTATGAGGTTTGAAACCATTAATATAAATCCTATAAACATATTTCTTGTCATTTGCTATTTGTTTTACAAAGAGAGAATTTAAATTATATTTTAAGCATCATGACATTTAACTAACCCGGAGAAATCCACTCTTCAAATGTTTTCTTTTTAAGGAGTATTTAACAGTCTTAAATGGGATACCAAGTAAGACAAAGCTTGTCCAAAGGGAGGTTGGGTCTCACGTAAGAGAAGTGCTATAGCAAACATCTTCTAGATGGAGAAACATCAAATTGCCTGTGGGGAAACACATTTGGTGGCCTCTATTGGCATTTCATTTCCAAGACTAGCAGGTTCTCACTGTTCTTGAGTGGAATGTTCTGTGGACTTGATGAACAAAGACTGTCCTTCCTTGGCCCCTTAATGTCTGTCAGATCTGAAGTCTGCTGAAGAAAGAACTAGATTAAAAAGTTGCAGAACCAGGAGCTTTTGAATTGGAAATCTTTTTCTGTAAGAATTAACTGTGTTTGGATACCTTTAAATTCTAATCCTAACCTGGAAAGAACAGCAACACAAATTGCTCAGGGAAGAAAACCTGATTTGAGCACTTGCCCATCACCGGCACTCGGAGGCCTGCCTCAGAAGAAGGCTAGTTCTAGAGAGGCTGTATGGTTGATGCTGAGCCTCTTTTATGTCTTGGCAGCTGTGCACTGCAAGCAGTCTGTAAGGCAGAATGACTGCAACTCACACAGGCAAGCCCTCTGTCCAGGTCCATCTGTGCAGGAAACCCAACACCTATGCCCTGGTGACATTGTTTTGTCTTCAAGGAGGTGTATCTGAGTTCTTGATGGCCATGCCCAACCAAAGGTCTTCTTCAATTCCCTCAGAAGCACTGGGACAGGAGACACAATTTTCCAGGTGGAATCTTTGGATGGTTCTCTTCTGTAGAAACTCTTACAGAGATCCAGAAAACACCTTCATGCTCAAGTACAGCTCAGGGGTTAATGAGATGTACAGTTGTGTAGATGCAGAATCCATGGCTCAAAAATGCCAAAACCTAAGAGCCTCTATTAGACAAATCAAAATTAAAAGAGGTTCATTACTTCCAGGAAGATGGCAGAGTAGAAACGACCTTTGTGAGATGGTGAAGGAGAGAGTCAATATAAGAAAAGAAAAAAAAAACTCTGTCCCATAGAAAGAAATTGAGGAAGAGTTTCAGAGATGCACCAAAGAAGGCATGAGGGATGGGGAGGCAGAATGAATGAACTAGGGAGTACTATGTTACAGCAGCCCCACCAAACCAGGCAAGCTTCAGTTCTGGACATAATTCTTCCGAAGAAGAGCTGGTTTAGTGTTCAGAGCCAGCCTCCACATGTAAAACCCCAAAGCACTCAAGCACCACAGTTTCAGGGAAGCAGCCTGTACTGCTGGTAATCCAAATCGGAGTCTAAACTGTTCTCAGGAGCACCAAGAAGAGAAATTGCGTAGTATTATGAGTGTCGGGGCTGTGTCCCCAGCACCCCAGCCTCCAGCTAGCTTATGCCCCGAAATAACAACACACAAACTGTACTCATTTAAACACTGCTTGGCCCATTAGCTTTAGCCCTTATTGGCTAATTCTGATATCCTGATCAACCCATCTCTAAAAAACTGTGTAGCACAGGTCTTACCGGGAAAGATTCAACATGTCTGACCTGGCGGCTTGCTTCAGCACGTGTGTCTGCCTCAGAGAGCAGAGCTATCGCATCTGCCTGGGAGAGGGAAGCATGGTGTCTCTCCAGAGAGCAGAGCTGTCAAGTCTGAGCTCACTTCCTCTTCCTCCCAGCATTCTGTTCTCTTTACTCCACCCACCTATGTTCTAACCAATAAAATGGGCCAAGGCAGTTTCTTTATTAGCCAATGACCTTCCTCCATCAAAACTGGAACAGTTACAATACCCATAATTCCTCTTCCCTACCATGGTGCAGGGGAGCAGATAGCAGGTGACCTGCTTCCAGAGAAGATCAAATCTGGGAAGAAGCTAATCTCAAGCAAGTAAGTTTAGAAACAAAGGAGGATGGCCAGGGCCCCAACACTGCTCCAGAGAAAGGACTAGAAAACTGGCACCACCCGGTGTCATGAGGTGTTATACCCCTGCTAGTGCCCCACTGAACAGGAGAATCTTTGAAATGGGATGTACACAGCAGGGTGGGACCCTGTTGCTGTATCTGGACAGGATAAACAGACCCCAAACCACATCTATCAACTGCACAGGCTCAAGGAGGGCTGAAGGGGTGAGACCCTCAACAGCCTGCCCCAGCCATAGCAGAAAAGATCTTGGCACAGTGTCCTCATCACAGAACTGAGGTGAACACAGGGATGAGCTACCCTTCCAAATGAAACCATCAACTGAGAGCACTGATTTCACTTGATTTCTGTGGACATGTTTTGGAACCTCAAATAACATTACCACAGAAGGACATCTCCATGACACACCACAATTGAACACTAAATCCTGTTAGGGAAACTACCAACAAGTATATAAGGGGGAAAGCATCAGAATAGTGTTTGATCTATCACCAGAAAATCTGAACACTGGTGAAAGATGGAATGATGTACTTTAAGCTTTTAAAGTAGATAACTATCACCCAAGATACCCAGCAAACTTACCTACTAAAATAGATGATGAAATAATATTTCAATACAAACATAAGTAAGGCTACTGGTGTTAGCTAGCTTGCAGAAAATTCTTAAAAGAATACTATACATAGAGGAACAAGAAATATAATTTCACACATGAGAACACAGGAAGGAGTACATTCCATGAAAACAACAGATGAACATAGAACATCTGGGATCATGTCTAACCCAGCAAATTTGCAAACATTCAGAATTATAACTCTAGAAAGAAAAGAATTACCAGTTATCCGGCATACCAGAACTACAAACAAAAATCATAAACAAGAGTAAATCTATTTCAATTATAACCCTGA